AGCCAGAGTGTTCCTTGGAGGCCAGGATGGCCAAACTTCGTCTCTCATACTCTGGACATATTTTCAGGAGGGAGCAGTCGCTGGAGAAGGATATCATGTTTGGTATGGTGGAGGGTGAGAGAAAAAGAGGAAGACCCCCAGTGAGATGGATTGGCAATGTGGCAGCATCAGTGGGCTTAATTGTGGCAAGGATAGTGAGGTTGACCCATGATAGGGCAGTGTTTCATTCTTCTGTGCATAAGGTTGCTATGAGTCTGTACCAACTCGATGGCACCTAATAACAACAACACAACAATGAGGTTGGGGTGGGGTTTAAGGGGTTGTGGAGGGAGGTGGAGGGAGGCAACGGTAGAGCACAGGGTAAAGACAGACACATAATAGTTCAGGTGCTGGGGAGGGCAATAGAAGGGGAAGGAGGTGGAAAGAACAAGGTAGATAAGGGAACACTGAGACAAGTTTGCATGGCCTAAGTGGGACAGAGATAAATAGTGATGCATGCTCAACCTTAGAACAACAGGGCTCTGTGATACAGGGATCTAGGCATAGTTTGAAGAGGGGAAATAATACTAATGTGCTTGGTTGTGTTATGAATATTGGTTTCCCTTGCCTACTATTATAAAATAGACACTTGAGTGGGATAGAGAGGAATGTCGAGAATCATGATTACAGAAAACTTGTAAGTCCGTATTCAGCCTTTAACTTATTGGAATACCTAAAAGGGGTTCTAGAACTTGCCCAGTGAATTAGGCCTCTTGCAGATCCTTTGCAGAGTATAGGACCTTAGATGGAATCCTGAGTCCCATCCAGAACCTTCTCAGGTGGAACACCCCCACTAGAAAAGACAAGCAGACCAGCCTGGAACAGCTAGAGTGACAGAAGATACATCTTCAAAGAAAGATCATCAGGAAAAACCCAAAACAAAAATGTCAGTATGACTGGTTACTACAAAAATAAGCAAGCTGTTCACCAGGAAGCCATCAAGACAAGCAATCAATTCCCTTCAGGACAAACCCCACTCTAAGACTGAAACTCAAAGAAAACACAGGAGCAGGCATATAAGCTTGCTGGCAACCACACTGGTCTACTGGTGAGTGGAAGAGGGAATGGCAGCAATGGAGAAATGGGCTGAGTTCAGCCATGGTCCTTTGATTCCCATTGACCAAGAGATGAGAGAGAGAAGAGGAAGGGCTGGTTCGTCCTAAGTGTGGTGACACCTGGGGACACCTGAGCCCATGGACAAGGACATAACCACAGAGGGCTA